TTATTTGTTCTTACACTGTAGAAGTCTTTTAGTTTCAATTATATTATTAATGTGGACACTGAAAAGCACCCACAGGCTGTATAAACCACAATCAACATTAATGCTATTGGAAAATGTTATTATTTTATATATATTTTTTATTACTTACTCTGGCAGTCCGTAAATTCGCCGTTGGATTCATTCATGAAATCATCAGCTAAAAATCACAACCACAGGGAAAAACCGGCAAACATTGCAAAACATATGCCCGACTCGTGTTGCAGAACACGATTTTTTACCTAAACGTTGCAAAAAAAACTATAAAATAACTATTTAAAACACTGTTGATCAGTAATACGTTGTTTCACACACGACTTAGAGCTAATTTATAATAATTAAATCGTCTTTTCATGAAAATATAGACACAAATAGTTACGTTTCGAGCAACACGTAATAATGTTCGCCAAAGTCACTATCCGGTGTTTCGTAAGTGTAGGTTACAGGTTTTCAATTAGATTGTCCGGTGAAAACAGTTTGTAAGATAATATTTTAGATATATAAAACGCCAGGGTAACCTTCGGCCTTTTTCTTTTGACGTAGTCATGTATGCGCAAAATATAATGCGCGATTGTTTCAACATAATCGATTCTGTTTGACAGATTGTGTAATTTAATCGATGTTTTTAATCGATTCCTCAAACAATCGACTTAAAAAAAATCTTATTATCACTTAAACGTGACAAGTTATATAATTATTTATGTCCTAATTATACGAAAGTATTGCCACAATGGGCGTTGCGTCGTCGCAACGTTATGATTTCATCATAATAAGTTGCTAGTGGTGAGGGTGGTTCAACGCACCGTGTCGCATGTTGTTTTGATTTACACGCAGCGCTGCAGCGTCACAATGCAACATCGTCGCAGGCAACGTCGAGGCAACGCATCGTGTGACATCGCTCTTAGTGAAAAAATGTAATTTGTCCGTTGTATAAACCAAATATTAAAATGTAAGTTTTGGTGTTGCTCCTTAAAAATATTCAATATTACGAATAAAGCGTCAAGGCTCTATCATAGTCTTCAAATGTCTTCGAAAACTATGTTATTTTCTTTTACAAAAATAAATACGCATTTGACCTCCATCTCACCTGATGGAAAGTGACAATGAGGTCGACGATGTAGCATGCGCATCTAAATAATGCCTATTCAATATCGCCTTGAAAAGGTCCAAGTTATAGCGTTCGGGGAACAAGTCTGTACAATTATGTTCTGTACAATACCGACAATTAGTTATTACCTGGAAAATAATTTGTTGTAATTGTGTCAACTTACAACAAACTTTATTTTCCAGGGGGCTGTGGTTAGTACTTTCCTATCCATAACGCTGTAAGTTGTAAATAGTTATGCAAACAAGAACCAACCCACACCTCGAGTGAAATTGAGTTATTTATTTAGGTAGAACACCATACGTGTCCTTTACCCACTCACAAAAGGTCCTGGCAATATATCAAGCCAAAACGGAGAAAATAAAAGTCCTTCAGGGTACCAACTCTTTTTTTACGGGGGGGGGGGATCTTTATAGATACCTCCCGCCCGCGCCGGTTGAGTCGGCGCCGTGGGGTCGGTGCACATTCACCACGACGAGGGTACCAACTCTAAATAAGTAACATTTTAATATATAATGTATTTTTCAAAATATGCTAAATGGATCCATGTCACATGTACTGAAGTATTGTAGGTCTTTGGCGTTTTCATTACGAAAACTAGAACATGGTTCTCGTTAACCAAATAAAAAGATATATAATGTTTTCTATTTATTGCTGTATAATATAATAGTTTCCCTATATGATTCTCAATGCTACACATAACTCACGTTGTTTGTCTCAAATAATTTACCTATTTATTTCTTCATACTGTTTTTACAAAAATCTAATTATCTCGAAAGTGACATTTTGTGGGGTATATGTGTATATTGCCCTACGTTATATACTTATTTAACAAATAATTTTCTTTAATTAAGTACAAAAATCGGTATGTATCCCCATTATTTTTCAATTTAGTGTGGTTCGTAGAAGTCAAAATTTGTCTTTTGGGTCGCGCTTCATTTATCGACGCAGAATATCTCGATACCTTCAATATCTTCTACGCCAGCTTAATTTTTGGACCTCTGTTTTTATTTTGTTTTCTGTTTCTTTTTTTTTCGAATATCGTTTTTTGTTTCTTTATTTTTTTCACAAAATTTAGGATGCATAATATTAGTAAATAAATATGGCTGTTTACAAAAATAACAGAAAACTTAAATTGGCGAAGTGTTCATTGGAGGCATCTTCTTCTGTCTATCAGACAACGCACAACATCTTTTTTGCTGTTTTTGCAAGAATTTAAAGTTTTTTCTGGATCGCTCAAATTGACGCCGCGTTGATAAGTAAGTTGACTCTCTAAAGTAATTGTAGGCACAAATGAAAAAATCGATTATGATAACAAATCGATCTTTTTATTCGTGTTACTCGACTGACAATGTCAGCAAGCGTTAAAGTTTCAATTTCAAGAAATTCACTTTATGCTTACTAGATGGCGCCAGGGTATTTAAATAAAAAACCGAAAAAATAAATTAGACGTATATTTTACTTTAAATAGAACAGCAAAATTGCCATATTGCGTTATTGTAAAATTCTCCCAGTATCACAAGTAATCTTCTAAGCAAAATATCTAAGCAATTAACATTCTGCCCATTACCAGTTAGTTGCCTTGGACTCGGTGGAGCGAAAAGTAAAGAGACTGTTAACAACAATTCTCTTGTGGAGTCGAAGCTACAAAATCTCGACCATCGCAGAAAAGTAGCCTGCTTGTCGGCTTTCTATCGGATATATTTCGGGGAGGGTGCGCAGGAATTTTTCGATTTAGTTCCATATTCACCTTTCCTCTATCGGTTGCCTACCACCTATCGCACTAAGCAAAGTGCTTCTTCCTTTCTGATGCGTACAACAAAGGAATGCATGGCATTTGTGTGTTCTGTGCAAAAGTACAATTTGGGGCCATTCAAGACTAGAGTGAATAGACATTTTTCAGGCAAACGCGTCCCATCGTCGTACACATCGCCGCTTAGCATGAGATGAGATTGTGGCCAAGCGTGTCTCTATGGTATATTAAAAAAAATTAACCGAGTGATAAGGGTCCTTCTTGGTTTTTATTATAAAAAAATTGTCAAACTCATGAGTCCTCGGACTATATTTTTTAAACTTGTATAAAGCTTTTGACACTGTCGCAGCACCCTTGCCTATTCCTAAAGATGAAAGGATGCGTATTAGAGACATGAAATTGCCAATTCTGTAATGCTATTTTCACGGATCGCAGACATTGTGTTAACATTGATTGTGAATTTATTGCTTGACTAGTGAAAAGGTCTTAAAGCAGACTACGGTGTTCCACTGGGTACTATTCTTGGCCCAACATTCTTTTTCGTCATAAATGATCTGTGTCGACATTCACTATCTTAGCCCCGAAGTTAAAACTTTAGAAAAACGATAATTTGCTTATGAAGGTAGAAAGTGAAGGTAGGCCATCTATTACATGTTCTAAGTTCAATATTTCGTATCCTTGAAATAACAAAACAACATGTGATCATACGTCAAAAGCTGTAAAACACATACCTTTACCATATGAAAGTCATAAAAATAATACGAACTATAAGAAACAATCATGTAATTTTTAAGTTTATGAATGACACGATGTTTGACCACCGTAATATTCAATTATTTTTGTGAAGTTACTCCATTAGTTTCTTATAATTATTAATACAAAGATGGAACTGTGACAAAAAATCCCTTCGATCTGGCTGGATTCAAACCAACGTCTTCCAGCAAACCATGGCAGACGCTATGCCAATAAGCCACGGAACGAACTTGCGGACCTTACGAATTTTTCGATGTGCTTGATGCAGATCTTTGTGTTTGGTTTTTAACGACTTTTTTGTCGTAGCGCCATCTGTGAGTCTGTTGGTTCGTTCTGTGGCTTAGTTGGCACAACTAATTCCGTAACTATTGACATACAACCATATTCCTTTATTTTTTCCATCCTCTAAGACAACCATAGACAAAAAATGCAATACTTCTTGGGAAAAAATAAAAACTTCTTGGACTCTTTTGTTTTGTAATTTTATTGAAGCCACGTGCTCTTTAGCTCCGATATTTATCGAGGCAACAGATTATGTAGCGAAGATATGTCAGGTTGATTAAATTTGGTCCCTGTCTAATAAATTATAGTGAAATGAAATAAATTATAAATAATTATAATTTTTTTTTTGTTTATTATAATGAATCGTCTGAATCTTCTCCATATGAATGGGAATCATCACTTGAATCCTCATTAACATTAATTATTAATTCTTGAGTACACAAATTGTCAAACGCAATATCACGATCCCAATCAGATAATATCTTGTTTTTCAACCCCCTCACATTGACGATTTAAACTTCTTCATAAAAAAATCGATTGTTATAAAAAAAATCGAATCGGAATCGCATTACGACATCACTAATTGATCAGAATTCGACCGTGGGTGCGATTCTTAGGGTCGTATTCTAGAACTCTACTCAATGCTCAAGTCAGGATTTGAGCAGACTTGAATATGATTTCAAGCACTGGAAATACGACCCTAATGGCAAGGACTTGAGTATGTTTTCTAGTGCCTTGAATCATACTCAAGTCCAGACTTGAGCAGACTTCAGTATGATTTCAAACACTGGAAATACGACCCTAATGGCAAGGACTTGAGTATGATTTCCAACGCTTGAAATCATGCTCAATGCCCAAGTCAGGTCTAGAGTATGATTTCAAGCACTGGAAATACGACCCTAATGGCAGAGACTTGAGTATGATTTCGAGTGCTTTAAACCATACTCTCAACTCAGATCCTGACTTGAGCGTTGAGTAGAGTTCTAGAATACGACCCTTAGAGTGCGATTTGATGAAAAGAACTTTAAGGAGAAGCAAAGACAAAAATACAATTAAATAAGATTTATTATCACTTAAGTGTACATTTTATAATACAAAAATATAATACAATGAAATAATTACATGGCATTAAGCACAGGAAATACTACACTAAATATGCCTAATACAGTGGAAAGAATTAAAAAGTCATTTTCTACCTTTAACTGGCTTTATAGTTAAGGGTAGAAAATTCCATTAGGGACTGCTCCCTGAGTCGTCGTATCCAGAAGACCGGCAACATCTTCCCTTTGGCGGAAGTAGCTGCCAGTCTTCTGGTAACTGGAGGCTTTACGAAGCAAACTAAACGCTTCTTAGCAATGACTGTCACGTGTGGCCCCCAAAGACCCAGAGTTTCCACCGCAAAAGACACAAAACTGTAACACTGGCTGAGGTTGGCTTATTTGAGCCTTTTGCGGTTAAACAGTTTAACATAACCCATAACTACGTAATCCAAATCCTACTATTGTCAGAACCAATGTCTCTCACATTGTAACTTTGCTGATTAACATTTCTATTGTAATCACCGTTTCTGTTGTTGTAATTGTAATCATTTTGATTATTATAATTTCTATAATCACGTCTGTGATTATTGTTATAATTATTTTCATAATTTTGTTGATTACTGTAAGCATTAACGTCTGTGTTGTAATTCCTGTCGTTTTCATTATACCCTTGATTGTTGTTAGGATTAGTTGCAGTATACACATCAACGTTCCTATGGTTCTTGAATGTACCCGCTTCGTCACGTCTTGCATTATTGTAATTATAATTTTGATTATTATAATTATTTTCATCAGATCTATAAACTTTATTAGTACTGGTTTGATAATTATAATTGGAATCGTCATTTCTATTATCTCTTCTTTGATTATTATTGTAATTATTCTGCTGTTGATTATAGTTCTGATAATTCTGATTACTATTATACCCTTGTTGATTCTTATTATAATATTCTTGTTGATCATTATTATGCCCTTGTTGGTTATTATTGTAATTATTTTGATAATTCATTTCAGTTGTAGGTGTACTCTTATAATTTCCAAAGACTTGAGCAGCGACAAAAGCTATTGGTACTTTAGCGTAAAGGCCTGGTGTATTAGGAGCGCCACAGGACCGGCCTAGTGACGTTATAGCAACAACCCTCCATATGCAGCCATCTTGAATTTGAGCTGGACCACCGGAATCGCCCTGCAAAGATGAACCATTGTTATGATAATATTTTAATATTTCCTTACAAGACTTTGATATCATTAATTTGACTCTTATGATGAGGTAACTTGGTGGTAGTTCCATATATATATAACAAACGTGCTCGCGGTGGTTATATGAACAAAATCGAATTCCATTCTTAAATATAAAATGTATGTGTACAGCACCTAGAACACATTTCAATTCGATATCCCAATTATTCTATTTTGTAATGAAATACAAAATTGTTATGTCCTTATTGGAAAACTCCATACTTACATGCCTATCTCTTACTGGGGTCGAGACTACCTCCTACGCTATTCTTCTTGTAAGTACCTCTTTCGGTTCCAACAACATTCGTATCAGTCTTTCATACATCATCATTAACCATCCTACTGTGAGACATAGTTCTCCTCTCAAAAGAATGCTTAGATCACTTTTGGTGTAATCTTGAACAGTGATGTACTATACTTTGAATCGGAAGTGAAAACATTAAATGACCTGGCAAGTATCCTTTCTTCCCCGCATCTCGCCAGCGCAGACCTGGCTATCACTCGACGGACCATTGGGCAGTTTTCTGCTGGTCCCCAGAACTTCAGCGCACTTGTTAATATCCCAGATCGGAAGGGACACACTGCGGAGTTCTAGAGATTGGTCACCTGGAAAAAAATAAAATGAAGTAAGTTTTTTCATCAGTTGTAGTTCCACAATGCAAACTAAGCATTCTGATGGTATATCAGAACTTTCTAACGTTATATCCCCAGGACTCTGGGGGTCAGAAAGTAGGACCGCATCCTTTTTTATACAATAAAGAATAACACGATGACACCGCTGGAGACCTGAGGCAATCGAGCTATATGAACTTGAGTCCTGTTGTTCTGAGGTGCCAGGATATACAAACAACCTTTTTGAATAACTCACTCAAACGACCCAAAAATAGACTGCAAGAAAGTGCTTCAGCAGCGCTACTCAGCAAGAAGAATGACCGAAAACCAAGATGCAAGATAATGCTTCAACGGCACTTTACACCGTCAAAAATTATTTCGATATACAGAAAATGAAAATGTATTAAAATAAGGCTTGACTAGAAGACCAATGATATGAAATACCACCATGGGAAATATTTTTGGTGCTGCTATCAGTTTTGCACTCTAAAGCAGCACAATAAGGCTTTTTTATTTTTGCATTTGAATTTGCAAGAAAGAATGACACGACCATACCGTACAAAGCGAAAATGGCGGAGTGAACTCAAGTAGGTCTTTTGAGACTTATAGTTGGCACGCGTCAGACGCTAACTAACCACTTCTACTGTATTTATTATTTTGTGGAAATTACAGACGGATGAGAGGAACGCCTCAACAGTGTACAGAATTTGGGATAAAATAAAATGTAAGTACGTTGTCATTTTGTGGTCGGTTTTTTTTATAAAAAGCGATGCAAAATAAACAATCAATAAAGTAATCAGAAATCGGAAATCAGAAATCAGAAATCAGAAACATTTATTGTATGAATTGGTAAAATACAGGTGCTACTTACAAGTGGTTAGATCTACAATTCTTACCCAAATCAGGCGTACAATGTCTTAAAAGTACAATTCAATTAAAATTTATTACAACTTAAATGTCAACATTAAAATTATACATAGGAAATGAAACTATTTTTCCGGATTTATATCGCGTATATTTGTTTTTTCAAACAAACCGACGTTTCGGGCCCTTTACAGGTCCCATGGTCACGGTTGACTGAGGTGGTACAGTCTTCAACCAGTTATGTCTAATATTGATGCAAACCACCCTATTTTTTTCCACTATAGTTACAATAGTTATTAATTAAATACCTTATTTTTAATTTTACAAAGAAAACATTCCAATCTACGCTATATTAAGTTTTACAAATTATTATATTGAATGAATTTTTATTAAGTTCAATTTATTATTAATTATTAATAGAAATTAGAATATGTAAACTAAAACATATTAATTAGTACTGCAGTCTTATGTCTGTTTGGGATTTTTCATTAGAGGAAATACTGGATCTCAAACTGGTGGTACGGAGAAACCATCTTCCCTGTTGAAATTAGGATGTTTTTTAATTTCAATGGCCTCTCGCATGTAGGTTTATCCATGACATGCTCGTGTAAAGGGCCCGAAACGTCGGTTTGTTTGAAAAAACAAATATACGCGATTTAAATCCGGAAAAATAGTTTCATTTCCTATGTGTAACAATGGCGAAAACCTAAGAACTCGATATTAAAATTATAATTAAGTTAAATACAATTGTTAAATATTTGATGTCTTTATATAAAATTCGTTAAGATTGTAAAAAACTTTATCAATTAATCATTTTTTAAACAAGCTTTAAATTTATCACCATTTAAACATTTCATTTCCATTGGAAGTCTATTATAAATTCTAATCGCAGTTACATAGGTGCTGCGGTCGAAGATCGTGCTGTTTATTTTAGGGAGAACAAGACGGCCCTTGTTTCTGACGTTAACGGAGTGTATATTAGATATTTTAGTAAAGAAGTTACTGTGATTACGTACAAAAAGACATATTTCCAAAATGTATATTCCTGTTAAAGTCAGGAAACCCTTTTCTTTGTACAGACTTCTTAGAGAATAGTCACTGGGTTTACTATAGATTATGCGTAAACATCGGTTTTGTGTTGTGAATATTTTAACGGCATTGACAGAGTTTCCCCAAAAAATTACACATTAATAACGGGTATACGTTCCCGTAATATGCGTTTTTTGCAACTTCAACCGACGCTACATCGACCAATACAGATAAAGCGTAGCAATAACTACCAAGCTTGTTATTTAGTACATCTATGTGATGTTTCCAGTTTAAATTTTTATCTATAGTAATACCAAGAAATTTACTACCTATTGTTTACCTCATCAATAACATCATTTTCAGAAGTTATGTGTAAATCTAAGTAATTTTTTTTGTAATTGCCAAACTGCATATATTTCGTTTTAGAATGATTTATTTTTAAATTTAGTGATTTAAGCCAGGTATAATAAGACCGTTCAATGTATTGTTTATGTCAAATTCGTAGTCAATTTTTGTTTTTCCGTTATTAGTAAATAATATTGTGACATCATCAGCGAACATAATAGGCATACAGTGTGTATAACTTACTAAACTCTGTTCTTCCCCATCCTGTCGCGATAATGGGCTCGTTAACTGGCGGTGGTACGCCCAGACACGCCGGCTTTATCACTTGGGAAAACCTAAATAGAATAATAATTACATTAATAATTACACGTTTACTTGTAACTAACACGTCCCACTGTTTATCAGTATAAACCATCGAGTATATAACCAGAAATAGGGACAAAATAAGGGCTATATATTCCCGGTAACACATTAGCGATACAGCTCTTATAAATATCAACTCCCGTTTGCACTGAATTAAAGACAGGCCAACTACTGACCTGTGTGTACGTCTCCGTATATTCCAAAACATATTTTGTATTTATTGTAATAAAGTTAATATCTCTAACAATGCCGTGCTGTTCTATTCGGTGGCGTGGGAAATACAGCAAAACTTCTAATTACAAAACAAACAGAATCACATTTCATCGGTAATTAAATATTAAATATGTAATTTTGCAATTTTCGCCCATTATAGCAGAGCTCGAGTTAACTGGTCGATTTGAAGTGAAACAGTTGACGACACCCGTCAATTGTTTCGAACTCGGGCTAGCCAATCGGAGCGCAGTTGTCACAGTAATGATATGGCAGAATAGTTTATGAACACGGCTGGCTGTAGCAGAATATGAGCGGCGTTGAGAAACACTCCGCCATTGTGCTGAGCTACTGACCTTTGTATCTCACACCACAAAACACTGTGTAGAACTTTATATTTTTATTTTTACTTATTAATGCGTGGAGATAAATATACGGTTTTATTATTATTATTACTTATTTCAATGTTGCACAGGGAACGGGAGTCACCCTGACACGAATTGGACGTAGTGCACAAACGTTCTAGGGGTGCTGGTGAAACTACATGGGACTTGTCAATTTATATCTCAGGGTGACGGGCGCCGTGGCAGTGTCTTTGCGATTTAGAAGCTCTGAGTGGCACTACAACTGTAATGGATAGGCGTGTCGTTGACCACCAGGCGCAAGACTTATTCGTCTCGAGCCTTAATTTATTTATTGGCCTGTAAGAACGATTCTAGAAAATAAACTAAGTTACTTACGTGACTGGATGCCGAAGTTTCAACAACGCGACGTCGTAGTAGGACCGAGGGCTTTTATATTTAGGATGGCGGACTACAGCCGCTACCCTCACAACCAAAGCACCCGAATCGTCCAGATAGGAGGAACCGAGTTGCACTGCTCGAGGAGGTCCACTGAAAAAGAAGTTTTTACAATATCTTGATTCCTGTGGTAACAGTATTGTGAATTATGAGAAATATTCGTTGAATAGTATCACTATCACTTTTTATTTTTATGGCTCCATCATTATGAGAAATGATGATTTTGCCAATATCACGGTTGAAAGAAAAAAAACGAAACAAAAAAAAAAATTCGCTGAGCTCTAATAGGACATTAACCGGTGTTGGTAAGTTGGACCACGGGAGTACTCAGTTGAGAATGTAAAACAAAAGACAACATTTATAAATATATGTTATTTAAGTGGATAAATTTACATAGAGTAACAATATGGGGGGAGAACACTAAAGTTAAGAGGTTATTTATGTTAATGGGGCGGGGGAATTTTGGAGAAAGTAAGTTATAAAGTGGAACAGCAATATTAGGACAAGTGAAAAAAATGTGTTCCAAGGTACCGTCTTCTAGGCCGCTCTCGCACAGAGAGTGATCTCGGACTCTGATTTTACGCAAAAATACAGGGGTGCAAACACGGCCTAAGCGCAAACGAATAATAGTGGAAGCATTGACTTACAAATAAATGGACGACGGGTCTAATACAAAAACCACGAAAAAAATGTCCCAAGTCAACCTATTCGAAATTTAAATTGTAATGTCATCGCAGTATCGCGCTGTCAGTAGAACAAATGAAGACTAAAGCGGAGTGTCGCGCTCTGTATACGATTTTAGCGCCTTACAAGTGCGGACACTTTTTAGCGCGGACCCGACGTCCATATAATTGTAAGTCAATGAGTGGAAGTGATGTTTTGGTATTGGCGTCACTGACGCTTTTGACAGAAACAAAATGGCGGTTCCGTGCAATAATAATAACGCAGTGTGTGTACGCAACATAGCCCCGCACTAGGGAAACCACAAATTACACCCAAACTCACGAGAGAAATAAATGTAGGCCATACAAGTATTTCTCCCGGCCCGGGCATCGAACCTGGGACCTCTACGTGGCAGTCCTGCATGGTAACCGTTCAGCCACGAAGGCAGTTATTATTATAATCAAAATAATAGTTTATTTAATTAAAGTTTAGTTTTACAATCATGAATAGGAGTCCTTAGGAGCAGTGGAGTTCCTTGTGAAAGAGTTCCTCCAGGGAAGTACTGCCACCGTACCAAGCAGTAATTACAGCGTTCCGGTTTCGAAGGATAATGATGCTGGTGAAACTATAGAGTTTTTTTAAATATCAAATGACGGGACTAACGGGATGCTATAAATGTGAAGA